ATCCCCATCAAAATACCATCCACTTTTTTCAAAGAAATGGAACAAATAATCTTAAAATTTGTTTGGAACCAGAAGAGACCCAGAATAGCCAGAGGAATACTGAAAAAGAAAAGCAAAGCTGGCGGCATCACAATTCCGGACTTCCAGCTCTATTACAAAGCTGTCATCATCAAGACAGTATGGTACTGGCACAAAAACAGACGCATAGATCAATGGAACAGAATCGAGAGCCCAGAAATGGACCCTCAACTCTATGGTCAACTTATTTTTGACAAAGCAGGAAAGAATGTCCAATGGAAAAAAGACAGTCTCTTCAACAAATGGTGTTGGGAAAATTGGACAGCCACATGCAGAAGAATGAAACTGGACCATTTCCTTACACCACACACAAATATGGACTCCAAATGGTTGAAAGACCTAAATGTGAGACAGGAGTCCATCAAAGTCCTAAAGGAGAACACAGGTAGCAACCTTTTCGACCTTAGCCGCAGCAACTTCTTCCTAGAAACATCGCCAAAGGCACGGGAAGCCCGGGCAAAAATGAACTATTGGGATTTCATCAAGATAAAAAGCTTTTGCACAGCAAAAGAAACAGTCCACAAAACCAAAAGACAACGGACAGAATGGGAGAAGATATTTGCAAATGACATATCAGATAAAGGGCTAGTATCCAAAATCTATAAAGAACTTATCCAACTCAACACCCAAAGAACAAATAATCCAATCAAGAAATGGGCAGAAGACATGAACAGACATTTCTCCAAAGAAGACATCCAAATGGCCAACAGGCACATGAAAAAGTGCTCAACATCACTCGGCATCAGGGAAATCCAAATCAAAACCTCAATGAGATACCACCTCACACCCATCAGAATGGCTAAAATTAACAAGTCAGGGAACAACAGATGTTGGCGGGGATGTGGAGAAAGGGGAACCCTTCTACACTGTTGGTGGGAATGCAAGCTGGTCCAACCCCTCTGCAAAACAGTATGGAGGTCCCTCAAACAGTTGAAATTAGAGCTACCGTTCGATCCAGCAATTGCACTACTGGGTATTTACCCCAAAGATACAAATGTAGGGACCCGAAGGGGTACGTGTACCCCAATGTTTATAGCAGCAATGTCCACAATAGCCAAACTGTGGAAAGAGCCAAGATGCCCATCGACAGATGAATGGATAAAGAAGATGTGGTATATATACACAATGGAATATTATGCAGCCATCAAAAGGAATGAGATCTTGCCATTTGCAACGACGTGGATAGAACTGGAGGGTGTTATGCTTAGTGAAATAAGTCAATCAGAGAAAGACATGTATCACATGACCTCACTGATATGAGGAATTCTTAATCTCAGGAAACAAACTGAGTGTTACTGGAGTGGTTGGGGGTGGGAGGGATGGGGTGGCTGGGTGATAGACATTGGGGAGGGTATGTGCTACGGTGAGCGCTGTGAATTGTGCAAGACTGTTGAATCACAGATCTGTACTTCTGAAACAAATAACGCAACATATTTTAAGAAAAAAGAAAAAGAAGAAGATAACAGGAGAGGAAGAAAAGGGGAGTATGTCAGAGGGGGAGACGAACCATGAGAGATGATGGACTCTGAAAAACAAACTGAGGGTTCTAGAGGGGAGGGGGGAGGGGGATGGGTTATCCTGGTGATGGGTATTGAGGAGGGCACGTTCTGCATGGAGCACTGGGTGTTATGAACAAACAATGAATCATGGAACACTGCACCAAAAACTAATGATGTAATATATGGTGATTAACATAACAATAAAAAAATTTTTTAAAAAAGAGTAATGCCTTGAAATCCGCAGCAACCTTTAATGGTAACCAATGACTTTGTTTTTCTTTTTTAAAAGTATCTAGATTTAAATTTTTAGACTTAAGCACATTTGATGCCTTTAAATTAATTGCAGTCTATATTCATTTGTATGTCAACTATAAGCTAGTTGGAGCCATTTCAAATTGCATCCTATGTCTCTTTGAAATGATATGACTAGCTATTAATACTATTCTTGCTTTCTTGGGGTGCCTTGGGGGCTCAGTCGTTAAGCGTCTGCCTTCAGCTCAGGTCATGATCCCAGAGTCCTGGGATCGAGCCCTGCATCGCGTTCCCCCTGCTCAGCAGGAAGCCTGCTTCTCCCTCTCCCACTCCCCCTGCTTGTGTTCCCTCTCTTGCTGTGTCTCTCTCTGTCAAATAAATAAATCTTTAAAAAAAATACTATTCTTGCTTTCTGGAAAATCAAGTTGCTCAAGGTTCATTAAATCTCTACCTCAGACTTCAGATCAGCTATTTGTCCAGAAAAGCCCCAATTCTGTTTAGAAAGCAAATATTTCCTTCCAGAGAAATTTGGGGAATAAGGATGTACATTGCTACTGTGTTGTCATTATTAGTAGTAGTATTTAGACGAGCAAATAAGAAATAGTTTCAACCTAGATTTCTAATTCAAATTAAGATGAAAAGGTTTTTTACTTACCTTTTCTTACTTTAGAGCTCTAATTTTTCTTTCATGCTGATAACCTTAGTTTCAATGGCATTTTAATATTTACTTATACTAAAATAAACATGCATGATGAGAAGGTATACTCAAAGTGCTGTCCTTTAGAGAAAACGTTTTACACCGTGTGATCATGTTTCCAACATTATAAACAGATCCGTTATTATTTGTTTTCAAGTTTTAAAGATTTATTTTTACTTTTTGACCTAAATGTATGTCTTTTAAAATATGTCCAAAATCAAATTTCCCCTAAATCAAAGCTTTATTATAAGGTACATTCCTAAGAGTTTCCTTATATCTCTTCCTCTCCTTATTAATTTTGTTTCCTTTCCCTCTTCTTTCACACAAGTTATCATACTAGAAAAACTTTTCTACATCTTGTCTTTATTCACTTAAAAAAAAAATGTACTGGAGAACATGGAAAATGTCCTCCACAGCAATTAATAGAAACCTTCCTCTTCCCATTTTCATGACCAGATACTTTTTTATTGTGACTCATAAGTTATTCAACCACCTTTATTTTGGAATGCATCCAGTCTGCTGTTATTATAGATAATGCTAGTGAGTATGTTACTTATAGTTTTTCTGCTACTCTGTCTTTGGGAATGATTCCTAGAACCATGAACGTTGAAAGAAGATGAATGTGTATGTAAGGTTGCTAGTAGCTCCTATCACATGAAACATGTGATCTTCTTGACCCCAATGTATAAAATGTCTATTTCTCTGCAGATTGACAGACAGGGTACGTCATTAAACTTTAGGATTTTTGTCATTCTGATAGCTGAAAAGTGATAGCTCAGAGCAGATTTCATTTGTATTTCTATTATTTTGAGTCAGCTTGAAAAATTCTTCAAAGTTTAAAGGCTATTATTATTCCTTTTATATAGACTACTTAATTTTATTTCATGTCTATTTTCCTATAAGATTGTCATTTTCTTCTCTACTATATGTGATATACGTAGTGACTTTTTCTCAGCTTTTCATTTCTCATTTTAATTTCTTTTGTGTTGTTTTGCCAAGAAGTTTTGTATATTCGTGTAATCCAAGTTTTAAACTTGCTTTTAGAACTCTCTTTTGGTGTGTGAAATAACGAAGAGATCTAGTCTTATCTTTTTTCTCATATGGTTCTCTATTTGTCTCAATATGACACTGTATTTAATAACAATGACTTTAAATTTAAAATAAGGTTAGCCTTCCTATTACAATTTAGTTGAACATAAGGAATAGCATGGAGGACATTAGGAGAAGGAAGGGAAGAATGAAGGGGGGGAAATCGGAGGGAGAGATGAACCATGAGAGACCATGGACTCTGAGAAACAAACTGAGGGTTTCAGGGGAGAGGGGGGTGGGGGGATGGGTTAGCCTGGTGATGGGTATTAAGGAGGGCACGTATTGAATGGAGCAGTGGGTGTTATACGAAAACAATGAATCATGGATCACCACATCAAAAACTAATGATGTATTGTATGGTGACTAACATAACATAACAAAATAAAATTTAAAAAAACAGTTTAATTGAATATTTAAGGTGTTTGTTACCAGATATTTGTGCTTGTTTAGTCATTCATATAAACATTAGAACAGAAACTTTGAAATATGATTCCTCGGTATTCCCAAATAGAACATATATTGCCTTTATCCCAGGCCTGATACATATGAGCTAGACTAGATAATGCTTGCAGAGATTTCCAGACTTGATAATACTGGGAATGCAGCCTTCTGAGTAATCCTACTCAAGCATAATGTAAGAATATTGAAATGACTCCAGAGATTGTCGCAGAAAATCTAGGACAAAACTAACTTCTGTGACCTCTCAGACTAATAGCCTTGATATTATCATGAAAGGAACACTAGATTTATAGTCAACAGAGTTGAGACCCTTTGATCAGAGATCAATGATTTCAGTCACTTCCAGACTAGTTTCTTGAAACTCTGTGTCATTATCTACACAACAGGTGTAATTGTCCTTGCCCTGTGTCCTTCTCAACATAAGCTGTTTGAAGTATAAGACCATCTATTCATAGAATATATAGAGCCCAAGGAATGGTGTCAGAAAAGAATCATCACCCTCTCCTCTTAGCACACAGCATGTCCATCTGCATCTCCCAACAAAGACAATGCTTTAGTGACTACAACACACATAACTTTAAAAGCAAGTAACTTGGCTTCGTACGCAGTAATGAATCAGAAAGATCTTTTCTATGGTGAGTTAACATTATCCTTCAGTAACTGCATTCTCCACACTGAACCATCTCTTGGGCTTTGTAATATTTTATGTGTTTGTTTTTAGACAATTTGAGGAAATAGAAGCTTTATGGATCAAAATCCTATGGAATTCATCCCAGAATTAACTTGCATCTTCTGGGGATTTGAGCTTACCAATTCACAATCTATTAACATCAAAGTCATATATAAAAACCTCATGCACACATATGTTAAAGGTTTTACAAGGCTCTGTTCCCATTGTTCTCTGGGATTAAAAACATCTGTTGAGATTAGTTCAGTGGAATGGGACTTTTGTTATCTATTAATTTCCGGAGGGCATCCTTCACATCTTTATTCCTCAGGCTGTAGATCAGAGGGTTCAACATAGCATTGATGACTGTGTAAAATACAGAGGCCACTTGGACAGTTTGCCTGGAGTTCTTGGAGTTGGGCACACAGTGGAGGGAAAGGATGGTCCTATGGAAGATGGTGATGGTGGTCAGGTGGGAGGCACAGATGGACAAGGCTTTTCGACATCCACTGGCAGAACAGATCTTTAGTACAGTCACGAAAATAAAAATGTATGAAGTGAGGATGATCAGCGGTGTGCTCACCTCGTTGAAATTGGCAAAGCCAAAAAGCAACAGGTGGGGAATGAGTTTGTCTGAGTTCGAGACAGCAATGAGAGCAGTATATTCACAGGAAAAAAATGGTTGATTATGTTATGTCCAGAAAAGTTTAGCTGGAGAGCATAGCAGAGGAGTACCAAGGGACCAAACATGCCCCAGAGATATGAGCCAGACAGCAGCAGGGCACAGAGCCTCTGCGACATGACCACTGTATAAAGCAGAGGGTTGCAGATGGCCACAAAGTGGTCATAGGCCATCACCGTCAGCAGGAAGGATTCTGTCACCACAGTGGTACAGGACAGGAAGTACGGCAACATGCAGCTGAAGTAGAAGATGCTTTCATATGCTATGACCAGCTTGGGTCAAGCAGCTCTCACTCTTGAGAGCTTTCCTGTATCTTCATGTAATAAACTTCTATCGCTTTACTCTCTCTCTCTCTGTCACACACACACAGAAAAAAGATGAAAGAAAAGAAAGAAAGAAAAAAAGAAAGAAAGAAAAGAAAGAAAGAAGAAAGAAAGAAAAGAAAGGAAGGAAGGAAGGAAGGAAGGAAGGAAGGAAGGAAGGAAGGAAGGAAGGAAGGAAGGAAGGAAGGAAGGAAGGAAAGAAGGAAGGAAGAAAGAAAGAAATTGCCAGGGGCGCCTGGGTGGCTCAGTCGGCTAAACTTAATGCCTTTGACTCAGGTCATGATCCTGGAGCCCTGGGATCTAGTCCCACATCAGGCTCCCTGCTCAGCGGGGAGTCTGCTTCTCCCTCTGCCCATCCCACTGCTCCTTCTCTCTCTCTCTCTCTCATCTCTCTCTCCCTCAAGTAAATAAATAAATAAAATCTTAGAAATAATTATACCATATTGCGGTGTGTATATCCACACATTAGCTAGTAATGTAACATGTACATAACCGATAGTAAATGTTTGCACATAAATGCATAAATGAGTGAAAGAGTATGAAAAAACGTGCAATGCTTGTCCCAAAACATACATACTATACTTTGCCTGTATACACAAATCAATTAAAATCTTTAAGAAGATATGTTTCTATTCTAAGTTCAAAGCAAAATGTTAGAGAAATCTAGGAAAACAGCATAGCAATCCCATTTTAACACCTTTTGTTTATTAAAGGCTATTTCTCTCACTGAATAGATTAGCTTCTGAGGGGTTCAGAAGGACAATGCATCCTTTTGACTTCTGTGGAGTATACCCTTTATTAGGGTTTAGACCCAAAGGGTTAGCTTCTCTTATAGCCCAGACACTGTATAGATAAGTCTATGGTCCCAAGATTTATCAGGTAAGATTCCTCTCAGAATTAACTCATTTATGAAAGTTTATACGCCAATTTCAGGTGCATTTAAAGAGGATGTGAATAAATATCCATTTCCAGCTGGTAAGTTAATTCTATTCTTTGTAAAATGGTTGGAAAATGACTTAAAGCCAAATATTTCCATGAATGTTAACCTTTCTTTAATATTGTTGGGTTCACAATTGGATAGCATTTACAGTGACTTAACATGAAAAGTAAAATAAAAGAAGATCCTAGTTACCATATCAGGGAAATAATAACCCCACAGTTTCATAGAAAACCTGAATGAACTTACCTACTACAAAGAAACAGGCCACCACCCCCCTGCCACCGTTTCTCAGTAAGCTGAGTATGACTGGGCCACCCAGGCTGTTATATCTAAGTCTGTAGCCCTAGAGACTCAGACTCTGGAGATCATGAGCAACTCATTCCTCACAAGCATCAAAATAGGTAATTAAGGCAAATGCCGGGTGTCGTGTATGATTTTTAAAGACTAAAATTTCCTCGAAATTACATGACAAAATTGCAGCTTCAAATTGACTACCAGGCTTTGCTGGCAGGTAATTAAAATGTCCTCTGGATGAATAAAACTAAGGTTAGGTAATATTTCCCTAATCCTGCCTCATCTACACCAAAATTCAGTAGGCTCCTTGATTTTGGAGGGCACATATACTAATTTTAGGCAAGTTACTCTAACCCATCTACAGAGTTACCCAAAAGTCTGTCCATTTTGAGTGGGTCCCAGAACAAGAGAAAACTCTAATTAAAGTCCAGTCTTCCATGACAGTTGCTGTGCTATTTGGGCCATATCACCCAGCATATGTAATTGTCCATCAACATGTATTTGCAAATAACAAATTATATAGAATTTTGGATAAGCCTCTATAGTGAATTACAAATCAGGCCTTTGGGATTTTAAAGCAAAGCATTGACTTCCTTTGTAGGTAACTATCCACCTTTTGAGAAACAGCTTCTGGTTTTTTCAAGGACCATAATAGAGACGGAATGATTTGACATTAGGCCACTAAGTTACTATGCAACCTACACTCCCCATCATGGACTGGATGTTGTCTATCTCACAATCCATAACATCGGGGATGCACAACAGTTAACAGCACTCACAAGCAATTTACTACGGTCCATACTCTTGTATTACTTTCTCCTTCAAAGCCCGGGCTAGTAACCTCATGAGTTATTCCCTATGACAACCTGAATATGGAAGAAAATGCTGGGCCTTATTTTCAGATGATTCTGAGCAATATGCTAGCACCACACACACACAGTTGTAGCTCTACAATCCTGCCCTTTTTACACTTGGTTATGGGCCATCTTTGTTGTCAATACTTTAGAGGGATGGAGTAATCACCTCTAGAATGGGTTATGTGCTCTAAGTCTGAAACCAGGATACATCGGTATTTCTCCAATAATTTGTGGGACCCAGAATTTATGGGTCCAGGGTGGAAATGGAAGCGGCTCCTCTACCTATTATCCTTAATGATCCACATGCTAAATCTCTGCTTCAAGTAAGAAACCATGAGCTGCAGTAGTTTAGAGGAGTAATGTTTCCACTAGGGAACACAGGGATGGATCTATGAAGCTGGAATTGTGACTTGTTTCACCAAAAAAAAAAAAAAAAATGCAGTGGGAGTGATATTAAGTAGATTCTGGGATAGAGACACAGAGATGCCTTACAGCTGCTGCTTCCAGGCTTTACACACTGTACTGAGATCACCATATAAGGAAGCCAGTGTAACCTACTGCAGATGAAACACTGTGAGAGAAACTGGGGCACTCCAGCCACGTCAGCACCAAGTCACCTAACACGAGTGACTTCATTTGAAGTTTTAAGCCCCAGGAGAGCTCCTAAATGATTGCAGCCACATGATGAACCAAAGTCAGACTGGCAGAAGAATCCTGCAGTCAGGGGCGCCTTGATTTCGGCTCGGGTCATGATGCCCAGGGTCGTGAGATTAAGCCCCACATCAGGCTTCATGCTGGGGCATGGAGCCTGCTTAAGATTTTCTCTCTCCTTCTACCCCTCCCCCACCCCCTACACACACTCTCTTTAAAATAAATAAATAAATCTTTAAAAAAATTAAAATATAAATATTATATATAAAGAATATGTATTATGTATATAAAAATATATATATATGCATGCACATATATATATAGAGAGAGAGAGAGACAGAGAGAATGGCATGTGGTTTAGGAGGCAAGAGAGAACAGCAGAATCCTTCCTCTTTTGTGCACTATACAGACCCCTAAACAATTTCTACCTTTTCTACCCTTTCTCTCATCTCACAGCTTGTTCTCAACATCAGCCAGGCTTTTTCTTTTAAAATTTTAGTTAGACCAAATCACTCTTGTAAACCCCTGTGGTGTTTCTCCATTTCACTCAAAATAAAAGCCAAAGTTCTTCAAATGTACTACAAAGCCCTGCTCGATCATGTTTCCTGCCTTTCTGACTTCCTACCCTACTGTTCCTCACCTGGTTCACTCTTTCAGAAACTGTCTGCAAAGATTTGAATGATTCAAAGGATTTTAGGGGAGTATATTAGGACCACAAGGATGATGAAAACTTTAGTTCTCTAATTTAAAAGTTTCATATATTTACAGACTTGTGCTTGTTATAAAGTTTGTGCAATTATTAAAATTTCATAATTAAAATCATTTTTATTTTAAACATAATCAAAATCATTTTAATAATTATTTAAATCGTTGCCAATGGAAGAAAGGAGAAATGAGGAGTTCATTCTATAGGCTCTCTAGGGACTCCATACACAGACATGAGTCTACACCAGCTGAACTTTATTTAAAATAAAAGCTGTTGGGTTAAAGTCTTGCTACCCAGAGTCTGGGTCCAATGGCTGGGATCACCAGCATCACTTGGATGTCTATTAGAAATGCAGAATCTTGGGCCCCCTACACACCCACTGCACAAAAATCTGCACTTTACAGCACCCCCAGATAATTTGTATGAATAATAAACTTTGAAAATCACTGGTTTTGATACCTTTGGTTTAATGGAAATTCTGGTGATTTGGCAAGATATTCCACTAAACTAAAAATAAGTAAATGAATATACTGACATATTTTTTTCTGCCTTTCTCTTCATGGTTGCTGATCACCTATTTTCCTCTTTTATCCACAAACTACCTAAGTCCAAAGAGAATTCATCCTTTCTCCATTTCCAAGCAGATGTAACACAACATATGTAATAAATCAATACATTCTTAAGGGTAGTGATTGATAATGGTTACTTTGTCATAAAGGTCTTGGAAGAGGGAGTGTATATATTTTGTATCCTTTAAAAACACAACACTGCACACACATGGAGAAAGAGAATCATACAGTCCTCCCTGGTGGAATAAAAACAGAAAGTTGTTTCATTTCCGGGAGTGAACAAACCTTGAGTTGCATTATCTGGAAAGTGTGCAATATAGTATATTAGTAATTGGTCAGAATAATATGGTAAAGTTATGTGGAATCCCTACTTTATAACTGAGGAAAATTAAAAGTAGGATACCTATTTATTTTATAATTGTTTATTTTCACATGTAAGACAAAAGTTTGTGTCACTTTTAAAGCATAAGATGAAGTTAAAAAGTCATATTTAAGATAAACACACTTGCTCTTGGAGGTGCGATTATCATTTAATTTCTAAGGTGATGTAGAGCAACAATGTTGCATATCTGCGCAGTGTATATCCTGGGAATCTTGTGTGATACAAACCATGATTAGCAAGAAATAAACACAGAGAATATTTTGATTTTTTTAAGTCAATCACTGGGTTAAGGCTAACAAATAAATAATCAATTTTATTTTGTTTTTTTAAACGACTTTATTTATTTACTTAAGAGAGAGAGTGAGGAAGAGAAAGAGAGAGAGAGCAGGAGCCAAGCCAGGGAGGGGCAGAGGGAGAGGGAGAAGGAGACCCCCTGCTGAGCAGGGAGCCTGACAGGGGGCTGGATCCCAGGACCCTGAGATCATGACCTGAGCTGAAGGTAGATGCTTGCTTAACCAACTGAACCACTCATGCGCCCCTGAATAATCAATTTTAGAGAACATTTCAATCAAAACAGTTGCAACCTTGCCGTATTTGTCTGGCAGATGAAGCTATGCCAGGAGGTAAAATGTGTAATTAACTAAAGATTAACCTTTAAAAGCAAAACAGGAATTAACAAACTATGCTTGAAATGTATTACAATACACACTGTGTTAGTAACTAGCATTTACAAAATCAGTTTTGACACATCAGGCTGTGAAACATGTGAGATAAATAACTGAATTTTGTTTTGTTTTGTTTTTGGTCCCCTTGATAATCCTTTTGTTAATTTGTGTAAAATAATTTTTATTTGGTATTCAAAGTCATCATGTTTCACATCACTTCCTGTACTAAATAAAAGTACAAGAGGCTCATGGAAGAAAGAGCAAAGAAATTGGCCAGGTCTTAGAAAGAGTACCTCCAGGGTCATTGCTAATTCTTCCATATTTTCATTCCTAGTTATTTACCAATTTTCCGAATTCCTCCATAACCCTAAAATTCTCATTGCTTTCATAGAACTGATGAATGTTTTTAAAATGATTTGCCATGCCAATATGCAAGTCAAGAGACTTGGATTTTATGATCTGATATTTACTGTTAAATAAGTTTCTTAAAATTGCTGCAGTAAGTTACCACAAATGTGGTAGCTTAAACCAGTGGAAATGCATTCCCTCATAGGTCTTGAGACCAGAAGCCTGAAATCAAGGTGTTGGCAGAGTCATGCTCCCTCTGATGTTCTAGGGGAGAATCCTTCTTTGCATCCACCTAGAGCCCCCTGGTTGGTAGCAACGAAACACCAATCTTCACATAGCCTTCTCTGTGTGTCCTTTTTTCTGTCTCTTATATGGACACACATGTTGGATTTAGGATCCCACCTAATCCAGTGTGATCTCATCTCAATCCTTATCTTAATTACATCTGCAAAGATCCTATTTTCAAATAAGGTCACATTCTGAGCTTCTGGGTGGACATGGATATTTCGGGGGACACTATTCAACTTGCAACACTATGTTACTTCACATATGATTCATAGCTCTTTTACTAAACTTTGGAGTGAATAGAAATCAAAGGATCAAAGAACTGGTTTATTACAACAATAGATTTTAAAATCCAGTGAATTGATGAAATGATTTGAATCCATCATCTCTACTAGAAGCATCAAACAATTCTCAATATAATAAATCAAATCGTTTTTGTAACTACAAATCTTCAACAAAATTGTATTAAGTGATTTATTAACTTCCTGACACTCTCCTTCACATCTTTGTTTCGGAGACTATAGATCAGAGGGTTCAGCATGGGAATTACCACTGTATAAAATAAAGAACCTACTTTGACTATGAGCCACGAGTTTTGGGAGTTGGGTACACAATAAAGGAACAGGATAGTCCCATGGAAGATGGTGATGGCAGTCAGGTGGGAGGCACAAGTGGAGAAGGCTGCAGAAGACATTTTTAAGACCGTGACAAAAATGAAAATATAAGTAGTGAGGATGATGACCAGGCTCCTCACCTCATTGAATATGGTGATGACAAAACAAAACACTTGGCGGATTTAGGGGTCAGAGCAGGAGACAGAGACAATGACAGAGTGCTCACAGACAAAGTTATTTATGATGTTAGAGCCACAGAAGGATAATGTCAGAAGAAAATAGGTGAGTGCAGGGAGGAGACTATACCCCATATGTAGGGCCCTGCCACCAACGATGCACACAGCTTTTGGGACATGACAACCGTGTAGAGCAGAGGGTTACAAACGGCCACAAATCGGTCGTAGGCCATCACTGCCAAAATGAATGTTTCTGTCACTGCACATATACAAGCCAAGAAGAACTGCATGATGCAGCCTATGAAAGAGATGATTCTGTCTTCCATCACCAAGTTCTCCAACAGTTTGTGTGTAACTGTGGTGGAATAACAGAAATCGGCAAAGGACAGGTGGCTGAGGGAAAAGTACATGGGCGTGTGGAGTTGGGGACTGACGCTGATGATCATGATCATGCCCAGGTTGCCCACCCCAGTGACTGTGTAGATGGTCAGGAATACCAGGAACAGGGGAATCTGGAGGTATGCATATTCTGAGAAGCCCAACAGGGTGAATGTGGCTCCAATACTCTGATTTCCTTCTGCTAACAACATGATCACAGTTGGAGAAAAATCTGAAATAAAATAAAAATAATAACGATGATAATAATGATAGCACATTTCTATGACATTTACCATGTGGCAGGCATTGTGCTAAAACTTTAAAATATATTGATTCAGATCTTCAAATAACACTGTGAATTATAAAATAAGTAGCCTTATATTTTACTTAAGGATGGGGAGGCATGTATAAGTTAAGGAACTTGTTTGAGTTTACACAGCTTATTAGTGATGAGCTGGGTATGGAAATTGATCCTGAGTGACAGAACACAAATTAAGTTTAGGGACAGATAGAAAACAACTGTACGGTGTTGTAGAAAACATGTGTCAGTTTCCTCATTCTGAAGATCTGTGCTTTTTCAGAGCACTAATATAACAATGAAGATAAATTTAGCACTCAGATTTATAATGGAAGGATCAGAAGTAAACATTAGAGGCAATGATACCTCTCAAGTTAGGATGTTCAAACTGAAACTCATAGGAAAACAGCCTTTAGAAGTCACCCCGGGACTTTTGAAATTTTCACACATACACACACACACACACACACACAATATGTGAATGTTGACAGAACATAGCCCTGGCTGCATATCCTCAAGCTTTCCACTGATTCCATCCAAATGCGACAATAATCCCCTCAGTGTTCCAAAAACAATGTAACAACTTGGTAAAATAAATAAAGTTGCCTTTGTGTCATGCTGTTCCCTCACTCCTGTGTTTCCTTTCCTACTTAAGTATTTTCTCACTTACTCTCATGGATGCTTTCAGCATACTCACCTAGATTCTGTAATTATATCTTTTAACTTTCTATTAGCTTTTTATCTGGTAACTTTACTAAGCATACATAATATTAAATACTCATAGAATCTCTGAATTGGAGAATGACTTAAAATGTGTTTTCCTCAAGCCTCTCGAACTAGAGACTATGGCAATAAACACCTATGGTTACATAATCACCCTGAAAATTTCTAGTGGGGACATGGGTTTCCATTAAAGCTACATATGTGATTATCTTGTTGTGAGTCATACAATCTTTATTTGTACCTGTTACTTTGAGAAAGCAAAGCATCTTGTATTCACAAGGAGTTTATAACCACATAAATATCTTAATCATTTAACAATAATTAAAAAAATAAATTAACCAGTAACAGGCACATATTTGAAATGTTTAGATAAAAAAAAGGCTATTAGTATGCATCTCATAAACAAAGACACCATTTTAGATTTTTCTGACCAGATCAAGGTAAAAAGAAACTATTATTTCCTTCGTAGCTAACTTCTATTTGTTGGTACTCATGAAAAAGAATTTTCTACCTACAGAAAAGGAATGGGTGGGAAAGTGACAAAGAGCTAATGAAAGAAGCATGTGCTTGAAACCTAGATTTAAATTCAATTTCAGGCTTTGTCATTTACTATGTGATCTTTGGTGAATGACTCATTTTCTGAGCCTCAGTTTTGTTGGTAATAATGACAGGTTGATACATATTGCACTGGCGTCCAAGTATTAAATTAGGAAATGATGTTCATGTACTTAAAACAGAGTCTAAAAATTGTAGACTCCAGGAGATGTGGGTTTATGCACTCTCACCCTTTTAAAAAAAATTCTTAGTGCTATGACTAATTAATGTTATTTTAAACCCTTATATTATTAAAAAAATATAAGCAATAGCCATGTGGGTACCGTTTGGGGCACTACAGGGAAGCCCACTTTTCTTTCTCAAATCTCCTCTTGACTCTGTTCATCTTATTTTGCCAATTACCGTCCTTCAGTAAATTCTCTCTGTTTCCCCCTTTGCCTTCTCATTATTATCTGATTCTTTCTGTCTTCCCTATCGAATCTCAGGTTGGCATGTGTGCAGTCTTAGCAAACTGCAATCATTACTCAGGTGGACTACAGTAGCCGAGGTACAGCCAGCTTCCCTGTAGCACTGTTAGCTTGCACTGGGAGAACAACAAATTCTTCTTGCCTTGATTACTGTGGCTATTAGGACAGTCGTTGGCTCTGAAAACTTGGAGTTCTTTCCATTCGCTAATTTATCAAATCTAAATGTCTCTGCTCAGTTTTACCTGAAGCCTGAGCCTAGCCATTCCCCAGCATCCAACCTTCTATAACGCCAATATTCCTGGCTGATAATCAACAACACATGCTCATTTATTGTGGCTTATTTGATTTTTCTTTTCTTTGACCCGAAATAACTTCTTTTTCTCTGGTGTGCTGATGCCACACTTGCAATATATGAAGCATTAAATGAAAACTACTATCACAAAGAAATTTTCCCTTTTCACTCCAGCAATATTTTCTACATTCTTGGTATACCTGCAGACATGACTCTCAGAAAATCAAAATTTCATGATCTATTGTGTTCACTATTACTTTATACGTGCTATTCTTATCTCCTATAAGATTTTGGGATGTTGAGGACAATCTCAGATTTTATAATATTCCTCTTAAATTTTCAGTGTGACTGTATTATGCTAGGCACATGGTGGATATCCTCAAGGTAAAAATCAGGATGATACCCTAGGGAAGGGGGAAGAAGTCAAAGTTCAACATGTGAGCTTGCAGAAAGATGGTCTCCAGAGATATCATGGCATTTAGACTAACGAAGAGTGTTCCCTGTCTCAAAGGTTGTAGGACTTCAATGACCCCCTTATTAATGAAAGATTACACAAAAGAGATCAGCCAACCTGAGACCAACTCACCTGAACATCCTGTTCCTACTATTAACAGTATCCAAGGAAATTTCCACTCAGAATTCAAACATTAAAAATATTAAGAAGTTGGTAAATATTGCAGGAGTAGACAATAATTTTAATTAATGTGACAGGAATATATTTCTTTCTTAGAACCTAGAAAAACTCAGACAAAGGTGAGAAGGAGGGAGGGAAGATGGGAGAGAGGGAGAAAGAGAATCTGACTCATAGGAACAAAGTGGAGGGTTTATGTAAGCCTCCGTGACCTCAGGGACTTAGACCCCAGAGAATTTGTATTGAACAATTTCTGTTTTACATCAAAAAACTCAGCAATTAGATTGAATGCTAGCTGGTGTGGCATTTTACAAGAATGTAATTTCTTCTTCTTTTATTTTTGGTTGCTTGTACTCATTCTATTGGGTATTTGCATTTACTTTACAATTCTTCCACCAACACTCATGGGCTGATTCCTATAACAGGAGTATTTAACTTTCTTTTTTTTTTATTTTATTATGTTATGCTAATCACCATACATTACATCATTAGTTTTTGATGTAGTGTTCCATGATTCATTGTTTGCGCATAACACCCAGTGCTCCACGCAGAATGTGCCCTCTTTAATACCCATCACCAGGCTAACCCATCCCTCC